CCCCCCTCCCCCCCCACCTGCTCCCGCCTCACCGCCGCCCTCCTCTTCCCTTCCAGCCCGCCCTGGAGGGGACCCAGCTCACAGCCGCACGAGGACGCCCCTGGGTGGTGACCGGGGCCCAGCTCCTCACTGCCTGGGATCCTTCCCTGAGGAGATCAGAGGTGAGGTGGGGGGGTGGATATTTCTCCCCTGCGAAGACTGGAGTGACTCGAATAAAGTTGTTGTGCAGTAGCCGAGCTGTGTCAGGGACTGCGTTCTGCCGGGCTTACGTCCACGTGCAGCTGCTTCTGGGGGTGGGGGGTGTAGAGGAGGGAGGGTTGCATTTATATCACGGCCCCAGGGTTGAGATGAGGCTGCTTCTGGGACAGGGTGTGTTGGGGATAACGCCATGTTTGAAGGGGAACCTCAGCCACTCCCAAGGGGTGAAGATGGTGCAGCACGTGCTTGAAACTAGCAAACGGTGCTGTAAGTGTAAGGGCTGCCATGGGCATGAGCTGCATTTTGGTCTGTTCTTCCCCTGCCCCCCAGAGTAACGTGGCTCTCGGCTTCTTCCTGGGAATGCGAGGGCTCCAGTGAGCTCCTGAGCCTGGGCCCGCTGGTCGTCACGTGGGTGCTGGCCACGCGTTCCATTTATGGCACAATGGGAACCAGCTATGCTTATGGCGCTTATATTGCGAAACAACTTCATTGCTTAGTCCATGTTTTATGATGCTGGGCTGAGTCGCTGCTTAAGATGTGATGAATTGTGCCTTAAATGTAATGTCTGCCAGGAGCCTGTAAGGTATAATTCTTGGAATGGGAGGGTGTCCAGTTTAGGGAGCAGGACCTGGGACTCCCTCTGGGAACTGGAGATTTGGCAGCAGCAGGGGCGTGGTGGTCAGGATGCATGCGTGTGCATATGCACAGCAGGTGTCTGGGATGTGGACAGAACCCAGGCATCGGAGACGCACACGTGGACAGATGGGCATACACACCCCAAGGTGTCTGGGGAACATGCTCATAGTTTCATAGTTTTAGGGTTGGAAGGGACCTAATAGATCTTCTAGCCCGACCCCCCGCCAGGGCGGGAGAACAACAAAAAACCCTAAAAACAAAAACGAGTCCAGCCAGGTAGCAGCCAGGTAGGCATCCAGCCTCTTCTTAAAGACCCCCAGGGTAGGGGCCAGCACCACCTCCCTTGGAAGTTGGTTCCAGCTCCTAGCCGCCCTAACTGTGAAGTAGTTTTTTCGGATGTCCAATCTGTACCTCCTCTCCATCAACTTGTGCCCATTACTCCTTGTTATGCCAGCAGGGGCTAGGGGAAACAGCGTCTCCCCCAAACCCTTCTGGTTCCCCCTAGTGAGTTTATAGACGGTCACCAGGTCCCCCCTCAGCCTTCTCTTGTGGAGGCTGAATAGGTTCAAGTCCCGCAGTCTCTCACTGTAGGGTCTGCCCTGTTGTCCCCGGATCATGCGGGTGGCCCTCCTCTGGACCCTCTCCATGTTGTCCACATCCCTCCTGAAATGGGGCGCACAGAACTGGACACAATACTCCAGCTGCGGCCTGACCAGCGTCGCATAGAGGGGGAGGATCACCTCCCTGGCTCTACTCGAGATGCACCTGTGGATGCACGACAAGGTCCGGTTAGCCCTGCCAACCATGACCTCGCATTGTCGGCCCATGTTCATCTTGGAGTCAATAATGACACCAAGATCCCTTTCCGCCTCCGTGCTCTCAAGTAGGGAGCTCCCCATCGTATAAGTGTGCTGCTGGTTCCTACTACCCAAGTGCAGCACCCTGCACTTGTCCGTATTGAAACACATCCTGTTCCTGTTTGCCCACCCCTGTAACCTATCCAGATCCTTCTGCAATCTCTCTCTCCCTGCTAGCGTGCTCACCTCCCCCCAAATTTTGGTGTCATCAGCGAATTTAAACAGGTTGCTTTCCACCCCAACATCAAGATCGCTGATGAAGAAATTGAACAGCGCAGGCCCCAGGACCGAGCCCTGGGGGACTCCACTACCCACCTCCCCCCAAGTCGAGTATGATCCATCCACCACCACCCTCTGAGTGCGACCCTTCAGCCAATCTGCAATCCATCTGACCGTGTAGGCATCTATGCCACAGTCGCCTAGTTTATTAATTAGGATGGGGTGAGAGACGGTGTCAAAGGCCTTGCTGAAGTCCAGAAAGACTACATCCACCGCGACACCTGCATCCATGGCCTTTGTGACCTGATCATAAAAGGCAATCAGGTTGGTCTGACATGATCTCCCCCTAATAAATCCATGCTGATTGCCCCTGAGCATCATCTCGGATGCCGGCCCATCACAAATGTGCTCCTTGATGATCTTCTCAAAGAGCTTCCCCAGGATTGAGGTAAGACTGACGGGCCTATAATTGCCCGGGTCCTCCCTTTTCCCTTTTTTGAAGATGGGGACCACATTAGCTACCTTCCAATCGTCTGGCACCTGGCCCAAGCACCACGATCGCTCGTAGAGCCGTGCCAGGGGCCCTGCAATAACCCCAGCCAGCTCCCTCAGCACCCTGGGGTGGAGAGCATCCGGACCCGCTGACTTGAACGCGTCCAGCCCCTCCAGAAGCTCTCTAACCCGGTCCTCCCCAACCTGAGGTCTGAAGGCGATCCCCTCGCGTCCGGCTTCTATCACAGCAGGGAAGTCCCGGTCCCTGCACAAGAAAACGGAGGTGAAGAATTGGTTAAAGAGGTCCGCTTTATCCTCTGACGCAACCACCAGATTGCCCCGCATATCCTGCAGGGGCCCCACATTACCCGGCGCCTTCTTCATCCTCCCAATATATTTGAAAAAGGACTTTTTGTTATCCTTAATCCTGGACGCTAATCCGAGCTCTATCTCCGCCTTGGCCTTCCTAACAGCCCGCCTGCAGGCCCGAGCAGAGGAGGTATACTCCTCTTTGGAGATTACACCCCCCTTCCACCGGGCGTACGCCACCCTTTTGGCAAGCAGGCATTCCCGGACACCCTTGGTGAGCCAGGGGGGCTTTTGGACACTCCTGCCCGCCTTGCTTCTTGTCGGGATGGACACCCCTTGGGCCCCGAGTATCGTTTCCTTAAGGAACGACCACTCCTCTTGGACGCTGAGTTCCTCTGCCCTCAAGGACCCCAGTTCCTCTCCCACTAATCTCCTCATCTCACTGAAGTTGGCCCTCCTGAAGTCTAGGGCCACCACCTTGCTGCGGGCCCTTGACACTCTACGCTGGATGGTGAATTCCAGCACGCGATGATCACTATTGCCCAGGTGGTCAAGAACCTGGAGGCCTCTTACCAGGTCGTCGCCTGCGGCCAGGACCAGGTCCAGCAGAGCATCTCCTCTGGTGGGACTGTGCACCTCCTGAATCAAGTGGAGGTCCTGCAACTCGGCCAAGAACCTCCTGGAGCGGTCCGTCCCGGCTGACTGCTCCTCCCAGCAGATGTCCGGGTAATTAAAATCGCCCATGACAACTACATCCCTTGCTTTTAGTGTCTCCGCAAGCTGGCCTGAAAATTCCCTGTCCAGCTCCTCCTCCTGATTGGGGGGTCTGTAATAGACCCCCACCGTCAAATCCCTCTCGCCTTGCCCCCCCTGGATCTTGACCCAGAGCACTTCAGCTCGCCCTTCCCCTGACCCCATACTGCTGGCAGAGGATGTGTAGTGCTCCTTGACATAAAGTCCCACCCCCCCCCCTGATACCCACAGGCATGCCAGAATAAGGAACATGGCTTTAAGTGAAGAGCAGGACCCCCATTACTTACCTTTGCACCCCTTGCCCTGATGGCAAGACCCCCATTACTTACCTTTGCACCCCTTGCCCTGATGGCAAGACCCCCATTACTTACCTTTGCACCCCTTGCCCTGATGGCAAGACC